GGACACGATCCTATTTATTTAAGCAGCATCCAACTCTTGCTGAACGATGATGAATGGAAAAAAAAAAAACATGTCCATTAGCTAGTATTTATGCATGCATGCATATACATACGCATACATGCAAGTCCTATATATATTACATGCGCAGTATGTATACAGTATCGACTTTTCTGCATGCAGAATCACGTCTCTTTTCTGCGCTGCTTCCGAGGGGTCTGCAGAAAATGCTATGAGAAAGAATATGCACCTGCGAGGAAGCCAGACATTCTTCGGTGATGATATGCAGAAGGTTTGTTGCATTTTCATCACGACGCCTGAACATTTCGCGCACAATTGAAAACAGATTCCATAAGCCTGCAAATGGTGCAGTGGAAACACATCCCAGTGATTTTCTGTCACAGTGCTCGAAACATACCTTCTGGTTCCTTAGCTCGATGAGGTCTGAAAAGAGACAGCCATTCATTTGCTGCTGGCGGTTGATTTGATGATAAATACTGTACGTCGCTGCAAAGTGCAAATTGTATTCAAAACCGCGCATGGCTCAGATTCTGCATCCCCAAACTTTCATCAAAATATGTTTGGCTTAGGGGTCGAAGCTTGTCAGCTTGCTGTGCTACCAGAATAACCTCAACTTGGCCCTACTCATCAACTTGCTTTCTAAATTTATCTACTTTAACATACTGCACGCAGTTCTTACTCCTTTGAGAAATGAGGGGCAACTGTCTACTACTGCAGTCTTCCGATATGTGAGTGACCTGAACTGGCAGACATCGCAGCACGCCGAGATTTACGTTCTGGCTGATTGAGAAGATGCAAAACAAAGTCTGCGACCCGCTCATCTCGACGGCACAAATCACTGACACTCCCACCATCGAATGGGGCAGCCGGGAGAAGGCCATGCAGTTACAAAAAGTGCTTAATGAGCAAAATCGAGAGCTACACACGAATGCGTGCAAATTACCAGTGCACGGTAGGCGAAGGCAGACAAAACTTGATCAGAATACGGCGAATATTTTCGTGCAGCGTACGCTGGTCCAAGCACCAAATAGCAACGTCGTCGTGACCACCGTCCGTTGGATCGGGAGCGCCAATCGCTGCGTTTATCTCCGAATTGGGGTTCCGCAACTGGTCAATCAAACGCTGCGCCAGAGGCAAATACTGCAAGCACAAGCGATTTGATACTACTACTACTACTACTACTACTACTACTACTACTACTACTACTACTACTACTACTACTACTACTACAGGGACGCTAGCTGCTTGTCGTGATAGTTAGAACTAAATGAACCAACCGAGTTGAAAATTGCGCATCGCTGCGGCTGTCTCCAGTCAAAATAACAATCTCTGGCCAAAAAAGTGGTCCTCGATGAAAATGGTGTAGCCGTCTCTTTTACCCCCCTTCCCTTCTGCTTTCAATTGATATGCTATGCTATTCGTTGCCAAATTCAGCATTTATGGAATCATTTTTCATCTTAAAATGCAAGTTAACGATGAAATAAATAGATTTTGGAAGTGAAATGTCGACATCTTGCACTTATTCTAATTCTTCCTTGGCATGTAATTGAGTTTTGCGCTTACTGAGCCAAGTTTTTGCACTTTTTCTGAACTCACTTGGCATTTTTGGCGCGCCTGGACAAGAAGTGAGGGTGATCACCAACCCGATTTTGGGTCGGCTACTGGACGGAGTTGAGGTAAAATGTGAACGAACATTAGAAAAAATTCAGATATAGCAGTTTTATCCAACCATTCATCCAGATGAAGTTTTACCCGCTTCCTGTAGCTTTCATACAATAACAT